TCACTTGGTAGCCCAGGCTGGCCTCGAACTCACAGAGATCCACCTGGCTCTGCCTCCCGAGTGCTGGGATTAAAGGCGTGCACCACCACTGCCTGGCCAAGAACATTTCTTCTTAATACCTTTACAAGAAAAAGACAGAGAAAAATTTCCCTTCAAAGTGCCTATTATAATAATTCTCAGCCTGTTAAGAGCTATCAATGGAAGGTTCTCCCACAGGGAATGTTAATTAGCCCAACCCTGTGCCAGTATTTTGTATGACGGCCATTAGAAGTAATACATAAACAGTTTCCCCAATCTATAGTTTACCATTTTATGGATGACATTTTACTAGCTGATTCAAATGTAGATACTTTAGAAAGAATGTTTGAAGAAGTAAAGAAAATTTTGCCTTGTTGGGGATTACAAATTGCTACTGAAAAGATACAAAGAGGAGATTCTATTAGTTATTTAGGATATAAAATAGGTCTGCAAAAAATTAGACCCCAAAAGGTATAAATTAGGAGAGATTGATTACAGACTTTTAATGACTTTGAAAGATTATTTGGAGACATTTTCCATCTATGACCTGTTGTTGAGGTAAAAAATGATGAATTGAGTAATTTGTTCAAAACCTTAGAGGGTGACAAGGACTTAAATAGTCCAAGAGAATTATCAGCTGAAGCTGAGAGAGAATTGGCTTTGGTGGAAAAGGAAATGCAGGATGTATGTGTGGATCATTTGGATTCAAAGCTTGATTGCATTTTGGTTAATTTACCCTCTAAGCATTCTCCTACAGGAATTTTAATGCAGAGGGAAGATATTATGTTGGAATGGATATTTCTACCAAATAAACAGAGTAAAAAATTAAAAAATTATGTGTAAAAGATCTCTGAGTTGATTTTAAAAGGAAAATTGAGACATGGTTGTAACATGAATCTTAAATAGTCTTATTAATAAAAAACTCAGTGCCAGCTATTGGGGTAAATTCTGAAAGATCAGAGAGACAGAACAAGCCACAGCTAACATCACCTCATCAACTTCTTAGCCAATCCTGTTTCCTCAAACTTGAACTCTGTGTCCTCATCCAAATGAATCTCAGCTGAACTGCTGCTAAAAGCCTAAGAGCTTAAAAGCCCCTAGTTTCTGATCCTTATGCCTTATATGCCTTTCTTCTTCCTTCTGCTTCCTGCCATCACTTCCTGGGATTAAAGGCATGTGTTTGTCCCAAGCAAGACATGAGATCTCAAGCGCTGGTATTAACAGTGTGTCACCATGTCTGGCTGTTTCCAGTGTGGCCTTGAAATCACAGAGATCTGGATGTATCTCTGCCTCTGGAATGCTAGAATTAAAGGTGTGTGCTACCACTGCCTAACCTCTATGTTTAATATATGGCTATTCTGTTCTCTGACCCCAAGATAAGTTTATTGAGGTGCACAATATATCAACCATACCAATTGTCAATTAGCAGGAATAGACCCAGCAGAAATTGTAGTACCTTTAACTAATGATGAAATTAGCAAATTATGGGCAGAAATTGAACCTTGGCAAAGAGCTTGCAATAACTTTTTGGGAGAAATTAACAACAAATATCCTAAAATTAATAGAATTAAACTTATAAAGAGAACTAACTGGATCCTACCTTGCATTGTATGGAAAACACCAATATCTGGAGCCCCTACATTTTATACAGATGCAAACAAACAAGGAAAGGCAGGTTACAAATCAGAAACATTAAGTAAAGTGGTTCAATGTCCTTATAATTCAGTGCAAAAATCATAATTATATGCTATTTTGATGGTATTAATGATTTTTCAGAACCTCTCAACAAAGTTACTGACTCTCAGTATGCTGAAAGAGTGGTCTTACACATTAAAACTGCTGAATTTATCCCTGATGAGTCAGAATTAACATTGTTACTTATTCAGTTACAAGAAATAATCAGGAATAGCAATCATCTCTTACTTATAACACACATCTGATCCCATATGGGTCTGCCAGGACCTCTAGCACAAGCTAATGATGAGATCAATTAACTATTGATAGGAAATGTGCTGGAGGCCTCAGAATTTCATAAAAAAAATCATGTCCAATAGTAAGGGTTTAAAAAAGGATTTTTCCATAACCTGGCAACAAGCCAGGGAAATTATAAGGAAATGTCCTACTTGTTCTTTATACAATCTAACTCCACTACCAGCAGGATGTAACCCAAAGGGTACTCAGAGGAATGAAATCTGGCAGATGGATGTGTTTCATATTGTAGAATTTGGAAAATTAAAATATCTACACCACACCATTGATACTTATTCAGGATTTTGATGGGCAACTGCTCTGAGTTCTGAAAAGGCTGATTCTGTAATCACGCATTTGCTAGAAGTTATGGCCATCATGGGCATACTTATACAAATTAAAACTGACAATGCTCCAGCACTCTGGTAAAATAAAACTGTTTTTTTTGCTTGTTACAATATAAAGCATATTGCAGGTGTACCACACAATCCTATAGGCCAAGCAGTCATAGAAAGATCAAATCGAACTCTAAAAGATATGCTAAATATAGAAAAAGGGGTAACAACCCCCAGAAATAGATTACATAATGCTCCATTAACTTTGATTTTTCTCAGTGATAATGAGAAAGGAACAACAGCTGCAGAGAGACATTAGATAATAGAAAAAGCTACAGAATTAAATCAGCCTGTATACTTTAAAGATGTGCTGACCTCTGAATGGAAACCACGATATGTATTACATTGGGGATGAGGTTTTGCTTTTGTTTCCACAGGAGAAGAAAACATATGGGTACCATCAAAATTGATAAAGGTTCGATTTGAACAAGAGAGACCTCTTAATTAGCAGAGGCAATAGTTCATCAACCAGCGTGACCATTCAATTTAAATTAACTTATATGACTAACAAAAGCTTTTCATTTGACCAGATATAACTTGCTGAAAGGGAACATCCCCAAAGTTAGGGTTAGGGCAGGGTTTTGTTTTTGTCTTTCAGGAGAATGAAGTCTAAGGAATCTGCCATCACATTGACTACTGCCAGTATGCTGTTCAAATGAACAAGCAGGACACAAAACAAAGGACTGCCAAACCTTGCCAAGACAAGGTAGGAAAGCTCTTTAGAAAATCCTGCTTCACAGATGAGTTTGTCAGATATGCTAAGCCTGTAGGCCAAAGGTGGATGCCCCAACATTGCAGAGGAACCTTGGATGACTGTCCAGTCAGTTGTTTCTGTCATTTCTCACATTTTTTTGGAAGTCACTTGTTTGTACTTCCTGCTTACTCAGTAAATATTATTTCCTTCTTGGGTCTCTGAGAGAGTTGAAGATTAGATAGTTATAATTTTCCTTATTAACAAATTCAGAAAAGAAACTCACTAAAGAGATGTAAAATGTGTAAGTTTGAAAGACATCAAAAGATGGTATTTGATTTGTAATACAAATAAGGATAGAAAGTGATTTAGGTACAATATTTTGGACTCACCAAAATATAATAGATAATGGAGTATTTTCTCTGAATTTGTCAAATGTTTATGGACTGGACATTGTTAATGTAATTCTTGACTGTATATATTGTATATAGTTATTGTACTTATTGTATACAGTTTTTCTTATATTTATAACCTTTAACAATTTTAGACAAAAAGGGGGAAATGTGGTGATATATTGTTTACCCTAATATACTTTGCCTGAAGATCAGAGAACAAAACAAACCACTAGATTAAACATAGAAGCCAGACAGTGGTGGCACACACCTTTAATCCTAGCACTCAAGAGGTAGAGATCTCTGGATCTCTGTGAGTTCAAGGTCACACTGGGCTACATGAGATTAACTCAATCTAGGAGAGAAACAGAACCAGGCAGTGGTGGCACACACCTTTAATCCCAGTACTTGGGAATCACATGCCTTTAATCCCAGCAAGAAAGGTATATAAGGCATAAGACAGGAACTAAAGGCTTTTCAGCCTGAGGAGTCCTAGAGGTAAGAGGTGATTTGTTCCTTTGTCTCTCTGATCTTTAAGCATTTACACCAATATCTGGTACTTTTTTTTTTATAAGACCACTGAGGAATTCATGTTAAACTAAGTGAAAAAAATAAAAGAAAGATTATATGTTCTCATGGTCAGTATGCTATGCTGTATCACCTCATTTCACCCATTCTATTTCTCTGTAAGTGACACAATGTTATTATCTGTAGTTCATAGGCCAGATGACTGAGGCTCAGAGGATTTAGGGGTCTGTCCACCTCCCCCCATGCCAGTTATGGCAGAGGTATGATGTAAGCACATTGCACTTGACTCTCTGGCTCATAACCCTGATTATCTCCACTGTCCTCTGAAAGCTGAGAAATGTCCTTGGCAAGGAGAAATAGTGTTTTTAAGAGGAAGCATGGCCTTAGTTTCAGAAGAATTTTGGGAAATCTGAATCTGTGCTTTGCAAGTGGGGCTCACAGCTTTTGGAAGTTTGCTTATCACTCTGCACTCCTTTGTAGAGGTTTAGAAGCCCCTAAGACGGTACAGGCTGTGTGGTGGAGATTGACATATGCTTACTATTGGGCCTGATTTTCATTTTCTGGTGAGAAGAATGACTCACTTGTGTGTATATACATATATACACACACACACTTGAGACCTATGATTGACTTATTGTTGGAAACAAATTTTAAACTGTTGTAATAAAGGCAGGCGTGGTGGTGTGCACCTTTAATCCCAGTACTCAGGAGGCTGAGGAAGGCAGAGGCCAGCATGGTCTACAAAATGAGTTCCAGGATAGCCAAAGCTGTTACAGAGAAAACCTTTCTCAGAAACCCTGTCACACACCCCACATATTGTAATAAATGGAGACAGTTTATTTTGAAGGGATTAAAAACCCTGGATCAAGTGCAATTCTACTAGGTTTTTTACTATATGTGTGATTTCATCAGGACTTTTTGTTTTGTTTTGCTTTGGAGTAATGAATGGAATTATTTTAACTGAATGCTAATGTGGTGAGTGCCAGGTGAAAAATCCAACTGAAATGCTGTCACGAGATTTTTTTGTTTTACTGACAGGAGGTGTCATGTTCTCTCAATTCCTGATGTATGGAGTGTGAACTGATAAATAGTTTAGAGATGAAGCCGTCAGTCACCATTATTACACTCAAGCAATTATCTTTTCTGATGGCTTGCAATGTTAGCCATGAAATTTAGGTTCTGAGTTGTGGAAGCAAAGAAAAAGTAAATAACAGTGATGATGGTGATGATATGGATGTGATCAGAAAATGAATAAGAAGGTAGGAAAATCAAGGGCTGCACAATAGGCAGAAGGACTTCCTGGTGTTTTAGAGGCCATTAAAGGAAACAAAGCAAGAAAAAGGTGGACTAGCTTCCTGACCTGGTGGAGACTGCAGGCGAGCCTGTAGGGAGACTAATGATGATGGGATCTCTTGTATGGCCACAAGCAACATCTCCCAGATTTTCCACTTTGGCTTCTCTCCCACTGTATTTCTCTTGCACTTTTTAGTCCTGTGGGAACCCCATGCATGTTTTTGAGGTGAAGCTAAGGATATGTAAGTAGAGTATATATCTTATTTGAGTTCAGTGGAGGTACATCTGTGTATTTCTCATCATCCCTGTCATATATTTAACTTACTACCTCCTCACCATGGCACAGCAATGCTTCCAGGCACATTCATATGGCCAACTTGATGAGTGCAATTACTCACTGGGATGTGGCCAAAGTGATATAAGTATGTGACATTAGTACATCTTCAGGCTCTGAGCGAGTGATGAAGGCACAGGTGTAAGCAGTAGAAACAAGGTTTGAAATGAGCAGAACTAGAAGCTAGTCTATGGAAAATCTCTCTTATACTTGGATATAAAAAACTGATTGGATTCATCAAATCCTATCAGTCAATACCCTCACCTGTCAGGCACATACTTAATAGTGAGCTATGAAAATTTATTATATTCTTGACTTTTGAAGGAGATAAGGATTTATATGAAATACAATCTGTCAGAATGGCTACAAGCCACCTTGACTCCAACCTGAGGCTGAAGACATCAGTTGGAACAGGAGTGGCAGAACTTTGGAGGTGCACAGTTGGGACCTGGCTTTCATCTGTGGAAGGCTGTCTGCACTTGAATTTGGAATGGGCCAGTGATGGAGTATTGTCAGCATGATGGCAGGAGGTGAGTTTATAGTTCTCAGAAAAATGAGCTGTGCATAAAAATACCTTCTCAAGGAAGTCAGGACAGGGGCAACAGCTTGGTGGAATGCAGAAATGGGAGACCATGGAAGAGAACAGGAAGAGTAGTTCATATTTCCATATACTTCTGCCCCCATTTACACATCTCACTACTGACAGCAGCCTTCCCAACTTACCTGACACTCCATCACCAAATCCTGACAAGCAATTCAGTGTTTGACCACAAAGTGATGAATGACACTAGCCAACTAACAGGATAAACCAACTTTAAAACATACACCTATACTTTACCTGACAAAATCTACAAAAATATCTTTTCAAGAAGCCTGGGGAGCTAGATAAGAACATTGACAACTAGGTGAAATCAGGTCAATAGTACACAAACATAGTGCGAAATTAAAAATGCTAAAATCATATGACAGGACCAAATGACTATTCTGGAGCTGAAGGTTATAGTGCATAGATTGAAACTATGCAGAAAGTTATTTGTTGCCTACTCAGTCGGCAGAAGAATCAATAACGTTGAAGACACATCACTTGAAATTGCCAGCCAGGAAGGAGGACAGAAAGAAAAAAGAATGAAAAAGTAAAGAAAACCCACAGAATATGTGTAAATATGGATTGAAAACAGACTTCACCATAACGGAACTCAGAAGTAAGGACAGAGAGTTTCAAAAGCCAGAGGAGAAAAAGTCATCACATATGAGGGAATGGTCAGCAAAAATCTTACCACCCACAGGCAGAGAGGGATGATATAAAGTACCTAAAGGAAGGGTTGCCAGGGAAGGCCACTGATAAAGTGGTCAATCCAAGACCCTGTCTTAGATAAACAAAAGCTAAGGCAATCTATGGCTACTAGACCTGCTGACAAGAAATGCTAAATGGATCTCTAGTCAAAATAAAAATATGTTGAAGATACTAAAAACCATGAAAATAAAGAACTCATTTCAAAGGCCAGAGTCAAATCAAATTCAGAGCATCCTGATACTGGAGGGGTGATGTCTTTATTTATTCAACTTTTAACCCTAATGCAAAAGTTGAAAGACAGACATATTAAAATAACCAAACCCACAATAACTTATAAATAGATATGCAGTATGTAAAAGATATAAATTGTTGGTTGGTGGGATGGCTCAGTGGGCAAAGCTGCTAGCTGCTGGCCTGACGACCTCAGATCCCTGGGAAGGAGAGAGCCAATTCCTACAGCTGTGTCTGGTGTGTCAGGGGCCATGTGCTAGTGAGGAGCTTGCGTTGTAGCTCTGGACAAACTGTTCCTTTTGTAGTGGAGTAACACAAACATGCCATACAGTTATGAGGAACTATGCAATCATGTGTGCTTCCTGCTTAGAAGTGTGTCTTGAATGATTGTGAGGAGTTCAAGGAGAGTCAATGCCTGGAGTTCATACACAACAAACTCTCCCAAACTGTAAATGGAGGCTGAATTATTTAGGAACTTGCCAATCCATTTAGTCAGGAAAATTGGATCTCTTCCTGTCACATTTAAAAGAAAGATCCTTACTGAAGGCATGGTGTCCTTTTTTTCCCCCCTTCTTTTAGTTGCCTAAGGAATTAAAAGAAGATCTAATTTAGGAAAGCTTTTTGACTTAAGAAAAATCAGACTCTCAGTATGTTGGAAAGCATCTTTGAAAAGTGATCTCTATCTGCATTACAATTTTATTGAAAATATCAAATATTGAGATTTTATGCATTTAATTTACAGTCTACCCACTCTATAGAAACAACATTACAATATATGTTAAATCTAGTGATTTGTTTTTCTTCTAGGGATGAATAAATTATCCTTGGGGAGTTGCCTGGTGGGGGGAAAACACCTCAACTTTGTATCAAAGCTATAGTTTAGAAGAAGAGTTCATTTTAAATCCTGTCTTTAAATTTGGTAGTTAGTTGAATGCTGTGATTTAATGGGATATTTCTAAAAATACTCAGAACACAGATCAGCTTCTCATTTTGTTTTGAGTGAGTTGCATGGTATACTAATGACTCAAGGCTTTGCTGTTTATATTCCCCTGAGATTTACAAGTAATAATGAGAAACTTCATATTCTCAAATAGCCTTTCCACTTGACAGTGGTGAGACTTTTGCCGATTTTACAGACTCCCCACTTGGTTGTCCACTGGAAGATATTTTGTTCTCTTTTTAATATTATTATTTTTCTTCCTCATCTGAAATGCAATGTAGTGTTTTTGTTGATCCATTTCCTAGATTACTCTTTTATTGACTCATCCTTTTCTTTATAATGTAGAGAATTTCCTTTACCTTTCTCTTCTTGCCTGACTAGATGAGATTCCTCCTGCTTTGGCTTTTATTTTGAAAGGTGGTTGAACCAAGATAAGCATATCTGTCTTCCTTTCCCAGGTTGGTCTTCAGACAGTAGCTTCTATTCTAGCACCCTTTACCTCCAGTCATATGATATAACTACAGTCAGTAGTGAGGCAGTCACATACTCTATCTTCTTACCGCTCTCCCCCAAGTGGTCCATCTAGTCACACAAACAGCTCACACTTCTGCATTTTTCCTCCAGTTTCACCTCAACTCATCCTGTTCATCCCGCATCATCGTCAGCTCATTCCTCTCTAAAGGTGATGTTTTACAGAACAAGCTATAAAATAAAATGGACAGAACAAGCTATAAAATAAAATGGATGAATTCCATTAAAATTCATAAGTACAATTGCTCTTTGAGAGACATCACTCATAAGATGAAAAGGTAGCCTATTTGACAAAGGACTTGTAGCTAGGACATATTAACAGTCTTTCAACTCAATAAAAGAAACACTATTGAACAAGAAAGTAGACAGACTATTTGATTATATACTTGACCAGAAAGATCTACAAATGACATCACTAATCATAAGGATAATGAGGATTAAGATCACAATGAGTTATTAGTGTGACTGGACATGTTTATATTATTATAAAAATGAAAATCATCAAAAGTCCTGAGTGTTCAGCAGTGGAATGACTGGAATGCTTGGACAGTGTTTGATGGGAACACATATTGCTTAGTTCAGATTTGGAAAGCAACTTGGCAGTGTTAATGAGTGCATGCCACCATACTGAGAAATTCCACTCCTAGTTTTCCACCCAAGAGGAAGATAAATGCATTCCAAAGTTCTTACCATTTTTGATGATAGCAGAAAAAGAAAAGAAGAGGATTGGAGAAAAGGAAGTAGAGGGAGATGGAGAAGGAAGACAATTAAAGAAAATGATTCATAGCCGGGCGATGGTGGCGCATGCCTTTAATCCCAGCACTCGGGAGGCAGAGCCAGGCGGATCTCTGTGAGTTCGAGGCCAGCCTGGGCTACCAAGTGAGCTCCAGGAAAGGCGCAAAACTAGACAGAGAAACCCTGTCTCGAAAAAAACCAAAAAAAAAAAAAAAAAAAAGAAAAGAAAATGATTCAAACAAATGTCCATTATTGCTGAGTAAAAGCACCGTGCTACCTCCATGCCACCCAGTCCTACTGAACAACAGCAAGGAAGGCCCCTGGCCCATCTTAGGACATCTTACTGGGTCAAGAAGCCAAACAGGAATCTGTGCTGTGCAATCTCATTTACATCACATTTTTAGAGAAGGTAAAACTGTAACAATGGGAAGCAGATTCATGAGCAGGGGAACTGTGGGGCCCAAGAGCACTAGAGAGCTCTGGGGAGATGGAATATTGTACAGTCTGAGTGTGATCATGATCACCCACTTTATACACTTGCCAGAATCTATTCAACTATATCTTTAAAACAAGTAAGTTTTTTTCTAAGTTGCTCTTTCCTGAAGCTGTTTTGATAAAGGAATACTTATCATGGATTATTTGGGAAACCTGGAAATACAGTGTATAAAAGAGAACTTCACTTTACTATTGTTTTTAGGATAGAATAATAATAGAATTCTACAAGAAGTACAAAATCAGTTTGTGCAGCCCAGTAGATGCCCACACACCTGTGAGGTGGTGACTCAGATGGAGGACCTGAGCATGAAAGTATCACTGCCTCACCTGCCTTCTACCAAACACCCCTGTGATGTGACAACACAACTTAGGTTTTGGCTTCTCAATTTTCATTCTTATCTGTGGAATCACATGGAAGCTTCATTCAGTACTTGGTTCCTTGAGTGCCATACCACTGGGCAGGATTTGTTCATTTATTGTCTGAAAGCCCTCTTGTGTATTGTTCATAGTATTGATTGTTGTTCAGTGCCCTTGGAATCAGTACAATGGTCTTGCTTTCATCTCTGTAACCTGTTCTATCTTTCTCTTTCCCTTGCTCAGTGTTATGACTAGGGGGTTGTTTTGACTTTACTGCCTTTAAAACTACATTTTGGTTTGTTGATTTATTTTTGCCATTGATCTCTCATTTATAAGTTGTGTTTTCATTTTCATTGACTATGTATTTAAACTTTTGTTGAGATTTATCATTTGAGTCTCCAAGTGAGGCAATGCCCTAGCAAAGACTTTCCCTGCATTAAAAAGGTTTCATGGTGGAAACACTCTCAATATATGATTAAAGTGATTGCCACAGTTTTTTGAATTTAAACCCATATTGTTGGTGTCTCCCAGGACTGTGGTCCAGGAGCTTTCCACTCTTGCTAGCCTGCACTTAATGGAGTTAGCAAAGTCATTTCTACCAGTGGACCAGCAAGGCTTCCAAGTTTATACTCCAGGCAAGGAGATCTCAGTTGAGGTTCTTCCTACCCACTTGACTCTTTATGATCCTGGGACCATAGTTCAATGATGGGACAACAAAAGCCCATTGCTTTTGGTTTGCGTAGCTTCTCTCTTGTAATAAGAATGGGATGAGAACTTTCAAGCTCAGCCTATCAGAACTGAGCTCACACACACACACACACACACACACACACACACACTAATCATGCCTGCTGTCCTCTGTAAAGTTTAGACCACAGCTTGCTTGTTTAGGTTTGAATTTATATGACTGTAGGTTTGCCATAGACCTTAGTTATGCAGAAACAAAT